CGCTTTATTGAAAAAGAAGGACAACGTCACCGAAACATTTCATTTCTGCCGAAAGTGCCGAACATTTGTTCGGGAACATCATGTATCAGCAAATTTTTTTTAAACAAGTACCGGTCTTACAACAGAATTCTCGAAAAGGGTAGTTGAAACTGGAAACGCGATCACCCACAAAGAAGAGAAATAAGATGCCTTGAATGAAGCGAAGACTTCTTATGATCTATTACAGCCTCAGCTATCCTCCTAACAATACCTGATACTTGGATGGCCCATTCTCACTGGATGTGCGGGCCCCATCATAATCTCCACTTTTTCAGACATCTGTTGCTTAAACCATTGTGATTCCCTGGAATCCCGAGATCAGCCTGGCCGAAATCTGCCCCACCACCACAGGCAGCCACAGCCCTTGTGGGTCAGGAGATTTGCTACCCTGCGATACCACGAGTGGTGGATCCTGCAGTTGGTTTGCTCTTAGCTAGACTTCCCGATGGATATGCTGGACTTCTTCTCAGCTTGGAAGACCCTGACAGGGAATGAATTCCCCGCTGCACATCGCAGCCCGACACTCAGGAGCACTTTCCAGCCACGACGAGGCTTTCCTCCTAATGATAGGATATGTAAGGAAAAAGCGACTTAACTTCGCAAACTAGAAGTACAGAAACTTTGCGAAAAAAAAATCTCAGGTGATACAGGTGATAGGTGATGAAAGAAGTAGGGCTATGTTCTTCCGTCCATTGAAGTATTCCTATATAAGGAGTTCTGCTAAGTAGACACCCATTAAGTACGGAAGCTGGCGATGGGCCAATAATGAACAAGATTTTTCATCTTGTTTTGAACGTTCTTCGTATTAGAACGCTCAAAACAAGATGAAAAATAGCAAACCTTTCTTTTTTTCTCTCTCTTTTTTTCTTAAATTCAAGCAAGAAAAACTGATGTTACCTTAAAAACCTTATGCAGAAATAGGTAATTCCCATTTTCCGCCCTTCCTATTTTCCAAAAATCTTTCCTTATCATACAAGAAATTGTTTTCAGGACATCCTCTTTCTGACCATCCATTTCCACCTAACTTTGATTAAAGTTATGCCTTAGCATTGTTGGAAACCAGTAAGTATTTTCGTTCCATTTAAGGAACATTTAAGAAACCTAAGGCGCCTGTGGCGCAGTGGTTGGAGGTGCCACTGCAACATACACCCGGAATCGATCCCCGCGCCCATGGCCCACCAAGCCTCCTATCCCTCCGGGGTCCGCAAATTGGTACCATACTTATCTGGGAGGATATCAGCACTGGTTCGATACATCGGTAGGCCACTGCGAATCATTGTGAAGGTCAGATGTGCTTTCAACCACCTCTAACGATACTTAATGAAGTCGAATGCACGGCGCATCCTTCAGGATTGATCAAGGACGAGAGCTTTATCCCTAGCTTTTATCCTTTTAAGGAACCTAGAATTCGCCTTAGCCTTCTTAAGAAAAATCTGAATTTTTCTTAGGGCTTCAAAACAACACTTGAGTGAACAAATCAATAGCTTTCATTCCGTTTCACCTAGGACATTTAATCTTCATCCATGGTTGATGTAGTCATACTGGTAAAAAAAAGGGTATTCCTCAGAATTCAGCGGTTACCGCAGCGAAGACTGATGCATCAACCATCCTAGTAACAAACAAACTTTAAACATTACTCTAATGCTAAATGTAAAGTCTCAAGTTGTTTCGAAATATAGACAATCTGACCAACTACCGAACCATTAAATGAGTTAGAACATGACTCCTGAATAGAAGTGAAGAAGGAGGCACTGTACCGAAGGCAAGAAAGTAATGGCTTCTAACGCTAGCTCAACTGTAGTTCAATTCCAGTCCATTCACAGAAGACGAACAGACAAAGTGCTTCAGTCACAAGTTGAAAATAACGAAATAAAGGTTGTACATAAAGCATTCTCATTACAATCTGCCAACTGAATAAGACCTGTGGTCGACTTGACTTATTAATTATGCATAAACTTACCTACTTGGATACTTGGATGGCCCATCTCCATTGGATATGCGAGCCCAAACAAGATTTCCACTTTTTCCGAGTTTTGCTGGTTCATCCACTGTGGTTCCCTGAAGTCCCGACGTCAGGCTGGCCAAAGTCTGCTCCAGGTAGCCTCCAGCACAGGCATTCGCCCTACTTGTGAACCAAAGGGAGATTTGCCGCTATGCGACTAGTTTGAAACCAAGACGGCAGTGGATCCTGGTATTGGTTAACTGCTAGCTGAGCTTCCAGATGGAACGCCGGACTCCTTCTTATCTTGGGAGACCCTGCCACGTGAATGAATCCCACCGATGTACATCGCCGCGCGACACCCAAGAACACCTCCCGGTAAACGTTGGGAGGTATGCATAAACTAGTACACATTAATTAGTGTTCACGTCGTTCAAGTGACAAAACACTTTTTTATAACGGCGCTTCTCCTTCGTGTCGAAATTTGACTTTACGTAACGGATGTCTGGGACGACGCCTGATGTCTGGAGGGCTCCAGCCGTTGAGAACGTCACATTTTTGTCGAAGAGACCTTGTTCTTTCGAACTAAGGGTATTCATAGTAATTGTAATAGTAGTTAACACATCCTTCCAACGGTTTCCCGCCTCATCGTGGCTGGAAGGTTTTTCTGGGTGTCGGACTGCGATATACAGCGGGAGGATTAGTCTCCCTGGTAGGGTCTCCCAAGCTAAGAAAGAGTCTGGCGTTTGCAAAAGAAAGCCTAGCTAAGAGTAAACCAATACCAGGATCCACCATCGTCCTAGTATCAAAGTCGGATGGTGGCAAATCTCCCTCTAACCTACAAGGGCTGCGAGTGTCTGTCGTGCTGACGACCTGGAGTAGACTTTGACCAAGCTGTCCTCGGGATTCCAGAGACCACAATGGCTCAACCAGCAAATCTCCGAAAAATGGTAATTATGCTGGGGCCCGCACAACTAGTGAGGAAGGGACATTGAGGTATCAAATAAGTTACTATATGCTACTATAGGTCCTCTATACAAACACATTGCTGTTGTCATCTAGATGTCTTTTACAGCTTATTCCTAATTTATTTCTAAATTTTTTATGAGCGGTCATTCCTTATAACATTAATGATTCATCACAGTGATTGAAATCAAGTAACGGTCAGTCACTACTAGTTAAATTACCGGTCAGTGAACTCGTTCGAAAATGGTTTTTGATAAAACACTAATTATGAGAGTACCCTATTACAGACCACACCATAACATCCTGCTGAATAAACTATCGACTGAATAAAAAAAGGGAGTCAGAATAGCTGTACAGTGCAAAATAGATAGCCGGAAAAAAAAAGGAATCTCTCAGATCGCCGTCATTTAGCAGCTGCCCATGATTTGTGGGCGCCTGCGGACAAAACAACATTAGCGCGTAAAAATAAAATCGCAGTGTTTTCGGTGCTCTACACTTCTGCTATAATTATAATAAGTTCTCCTTTGTTAGTTAGAAGGTTTCCTATATAGTAACTTAATGTTGTTCCTCAAAGAATGTCGGCAATTCTATAATTTTCTGACTTCATGAAGAGTAAGTGATCAATCCTAAACAGATGAAAATGTTTAGGGAAATCGTTTATTTGTTTTAAAATACTTTTCTCATTCTTAATACTAGAATAGTTGGCACTTAATTTGTGCACACAGTGCATACCATATGAATTGATTGCGGCTTATGCTTCCCTCACTAGAGCCGCTGGTGCACATCCAACATTGATCCGTATCCGCTCGTAATGTTTATGGCTAGCATTTACTTGTAAGTTGACAAGTTCCTTCCTTTTTTAAAGCAGTTGTGTTTACTCGGAATACAAGTGGTCCTAGTGTAAGTATGATGCACGTGATTTTCCGCACTAAAACTTACTTCATGCTCGAGGTGTTAACCTTCAACTTACACTTCATTTCGATCAATAATTATAGAATCAATGGATATCATTGTGCATTATTTATCGCATATTTCTCTCTGTAAACCATTTAACATAAATATTAGAGTAATCCTGGTATTAACAGTACTGATTCATGTTGATATCATCTTCGAGTATCAGAACAACTCATGTAAGGTTCTGTTTTCTTACGAGAAACAGTTGCTTGTACATAGTTCTGTCATATTCTCTTTGCCATTGTCTTCATTACTTTACTAGTTACTACTTACTAGCACTTAACTCTCTTGCTTAACGTTCTTCCAGTATCCCGTAGGGAGTAACGTACGGTTGGTGGCGAAATGACTTTAGTCTATGTTCCCAATTCTATACGTCCTTCTACTTTTTACTGAAGTAAGTCAAAAATTCGACTTTTAGCAGAAAAGCGCAAGAGTTTCCACTATTTTACACTAATGTGATTGTCTATGATCTTCACTGACCATTATTTCGCTAAACTGTATTCACTTGTTTGTCAAAATGTTGCTTCGAAACCATTCCACGGCTTTCTTCTGGTGAGGATGTATGACCGTAAAATCCAGGAGCTTAGGGATCCATATTCCATTTTTCCCACTCACCGAACAGCCTCTATTGAGGAGTTCGAGTTATTGTAATCTGTTCTGGGTCTTAATGCTCACTTTACCAGTAAATGAGCATGTTAAATCGTGTGAAAGTGAGAAAGACGTGGGCACCGGAAGGAAGTCGAGCCGGTAGGACGCGTTTCTTGTGTTGTTTACGTGCTTTAGTGGAATTCGAAACCGGACTCTTGTCATTCGTCCCGTTGTTGTCCTGGATTTCTGACTTGATTCTTTCGGGAGCTTACCTGTACACCATTTGTTTGCTAGTTGTTTCGCTTCACATTTATACAGTGTGTTTTCTTTAGGCGGATTGATTTCGTAGTCATCGTGTGTTCCTCCGACTTCCCATTCAACGATTGATTCTGGAGACTAGGATTGATTTTATAACTGGTTCATGATTCCTATACGCTGTTGTTCGTCCTGCTGTTACTTGTTTACAATGCATGTGAATTCATTAACGAACACGATTCATCAGTTTGTAGGTAATATGCTTTCGGTAGCCAAACGAGGTGTCGGAAGCGTGCTAACCCGACGAGCATTTAGCCTCTCTGCATCGGCAAGCGATGCGAAACGTGCGAATATTTCCAACTATAAAGTGGTTGATCATACTTACGATGCTGTCGTTGTTGGTGCAGGTAGGTTTGACGTCGGTTGTACGTCGATAATTTTCCATCGTATTCAATGATATTGTGTTTCAGGAGGTGCAGGACTTCGTGCAGCTATGGGATTATCAGAAGGTGGTCTGAAGACCGCGGTCATCACCAAGATCTTCCCCACACGATCGCACACAGTGGCTGCTCAGGGAGGAGTGAACGCAGCCATCGGAAACATGAATAAGGATGACTGGCGCTGGCACTTCTACGACACTGTGAAGGTGATTCGGTTCTGTTTGTATTTGTAAATGTAGGAGGTCACTTCATTAGATAGCAAATTAGCTCACGTAAATCTGTTTTTTCCATCATTGGGCGCGTGAAGCACAGTAGTCGGAGGCGCCATTCAATAAACACGGGGTCGATCCCCGTGTCCCAGGCCCACCAAGCCATCTATCCATCTTGATTTTATTTCTAAATGTAGGAGGTCATCTCAGTAGAACGCAAACTAGCTGACTTAAATCTGTCGTTGAAAATGAGTGTAGTGCTTCTTCGGATGGATAGGTAAACTTTGATTGGGAGTAGAAAGATTTTGATATTTCACTTTTCAATACCGAAAAGATTCTGATGAAGTCGCATCTGCTTATTATCGATGCAAAGAACTTACGGAACTAAATAATAGAAAAAAATGCTTGCGTATCCTAGTATCCTAGTTTTACTTCCGCGTATTAGGTCAATAACACTTCTTGGCACATCAGGTCTAGATGCATGTTTTATTGTTCTCACTGTAAATTTCACTATTCAGCTTCATATTGGTTTTCGATGGTCTTGAGTTCTAAGTGGCGAGCACTGGTGTTTTTAAACTCATTTGATTTAAACTAATAGCATAGGTTCACTTCATTAATCGTTTACCTTGTTGTTCGAACCTTTTCACGTATTTTAATTGGATATTAGAATATCCTATCTTGATAAATCTCTCGGATCTCAGCACAGTTTATTGGTTTTACCACCATCGTCTGTTGAGATGGTCTAGTTTGTCGGTGATGATGCTTTAGAGTGTCTTTCCGTTGTCCATCAAACTTATCCATCTGCGAGTGCAGGTATTTGATGCTAACTATGAGCGTGTACTTGATACTTGATATTTGAACGGCCCGTCTTCACTAGTTGTGCGGGCCCCAGCATAATCACCATTTTTCGGAGATTTGTTGGTTAAGCCATTGTGGTGGGTGCGAACACAGGTTTGATGAAATGCTAGGCTACCTCAAGTCTTTCTACAAGCGAGATATGCATTCATTCAGTTCTACGATAATTGACAAAGTCGTATGGATGCGGAATCCATTAGAGGGTTTTTCGGTTACTTTACAGTTTTTATTCTTTAGATACACTTCTTTGTCGATAACACCATAGCGTTCGTTTCCTTCCTGTCAAGCGCTTTTTCGTAGTTGGCAAGATTAAGACAAAAGCAACGGAGCTCCCGGCAAGAATTCGTAGTCGTAGTCAGCATTTGGATATCCACATGACAGATTTCTTTTTATAATAATGCCTGTTTAGTTGATTTGACTTACCTTTGCTTATTATCCATCGTTTTATGTTTGTATATTCTGGTAATCATGGGCAAAAGATTGTACAAATTAAACAAATAAATCGTGTGGTTATTGTGAGGATTCCCTTGGTCATTCTTCTTAGGCAGTGTGACCATGCGCGTAGTGCTTTATTTCCCGAGCATCTCTTTTCAAAGGAGGTCGTCATGGGGATGCTAGAGATATGCATATTTCGTGGCTTTCAATTCAAAACGTGTCGATGGAGAGTTTGGTTATGGAAAAGTGCACCTGTTTGGCACTTGTGGACCAGGAACGCCTAACCATTGGTATTTTAAACGTTGTCAGAAGTCCTCCAAATGTTTTGAACGTGCTTAAAAACTCTTTCGATAGTATTGTTGTAAATGTTTTTTATTCACGAATGGAAGCAATCCTTTGTCTTTATTAGTATGAGTGCGTGAGCCGCCTTGTAAGAATTTCCGATTCTTGTCGATGGTTTTTTTTAATATTGATAAGGTCATGTGACCATGGCTTTTTTGTCTCTTGCAATTAATCGGCGCATATAAGCATGACTACGGAATTACGGTCGTTTCTATAACTAGATGAGTTTTACTTTATGTAGAATTCATCCATTAGGACTATATTATTTCCTCTTTAGGGATCAGACTGGATAGGCGATCAAGATGCAATTCATTATATGACCAGAGAAGCTTGCAGGGCTGTTATAGAATTAGAAAACTATGGTTGGTGTGGAGGTTATTGTTTTCTGTATTTTAAATTATTAGACAACAGATCTGTTTCAGGTATGCCGTTTTCTCGCACTCTTGATGGGAAGATATACCAACGTGCTTTCGGTGGGCAATCCAATGACTATGGGCGCGGTGGTCAGGCTCACAGGTTCGCTTAAAACTTAGTTTATATCGTCATGATATTCCCAGCAGCTTGCACTTTTTTATGGTTATTTTTTAAAAACCATTTGGGTTAACGTATGGCCCCATTTATCCGGGGCTGTTGAATTACTCTTGTCTGGGAAAACCTTTCAATGATGGGAAAACGCCTGTGATAAAAACCTGAGAACGCTCTAGTAGAACTTCCCCAGGTTTCCACGGTGAATATACTCAACTAGAGTTCGGCAAAACTTATGAAGAAGACGAAATTCTTGACTGATAGCATGTCTCACGAGCAAATTCTTTCCTTAATGAGATGTGCGTTAGAACGAAACAAATGAGAGAGGTGCTGAGATCTGCACATGATATAAGGTTGTTGTTTAGGTAAAATAAGTTTATATATGTGCGTGATTTCCTCCGCATCTCTCCTGTCCAATATGATGATTTAACTTTGTGAAAAATTGAATTTCGTGAGTATTATAACGTATTTCAATGGCAATCTAAGTTATTGCTTTAGAACTTGTTGTGTTGCTGACCGAACAGGGCATTCACTTCTGCATACACTTTACGGAGCTTCGCTGCAGTACGACTGTAATTATTTCGTCGAATATTTTGCACTTGATCTCATAATGGACAAGGTATGCATTTTGTAAACTGTTGGTTTCATATCGTTTTTTTTTCAATGCATAATGACCGATGTGAATCGATTTCACACTTAAAATATTTGTGGTTTTAAACTATCAACAAACCCATCTCCTGTTTTAGCAAGCTGTGCAATCCACAGATGTTTATCAACAGGATTATCAACTAGTTTTCCGACTCAACCAAAACTTGGTCGTCGAGTGACTAGAGCGGGCGCGGTAAATAATTTTGGCGAGATGGTATCGCCTTGCCCAACTCCTCTTTTAACGTTAATGTTAATATCGTTCTAGAATGGTGATATCTTGGATGTAAAATTTTTGTAAAGCTCACGAAGAATCTTCTTCTACTGAGTAGAGACTCCTTGACTATCAAAAGCTTCGATGTCTGCTTCTATCTCAATTGAGTTAAGGGCCTTCTTTAAATCGATGGAAGTGAGACAGAGCGGTCTTTTGTACTCTCTCGAAACTTCAATAAGCCGTGTTACCGCGTGGATGTGGTCCATCGTACTAAATCCTCTTCGAAACCCTGCTTGCTCACATGGCTGTCCTTCGTCCAGTTTTCTGTCAATACTGTTTAGGGTGACTCCAGTAGAATGTTTGTAGACGACAGACAGTAAGCAGATTGGGCGATAGTTGCCGATATCGTGGAGGACTCCATTCTTGAACATTAGCACGGTCTTGCTGGTCTTCGTTGAATAGGGAGCTTGCATTCAGACAGGTGACGTGTGAAGAGCCGAGCCAGTGTGTTTGCGAGGAATGGCAGACGCTTTCTCGGGTGTTCTGGTCTTATCCTATCCGGACTTGGTTCTGTTCGATTTTTTACCGGCGAAATGGATTGACGGATTTCAGAAGGAAGGACTGGTGGTACACTATATCCATCCTGCTTTATTTCATATGACGAAGGGTGGACGTGGCTATCGAAGAGATTTGAGTAGTATTCGTGAATGATTTTCTCCTTTTCTTTCCGGAAGCAGTAACTATTCCGTCTGGGCGACGTATTGCAATCATCTTGGTCTTGTAATTAGCGAAGCTTCGGTGGGCTTTGCAAATGCTTTTTCCAGCCTTTGCAGCTTCGACCTTTACTGCTGCTCTTCTCTCTTTAGGATGTTCTTTTATCGCCTGTCTGTATTGTTTCGCAAGTTCTGACATTAGTTCGCGGCTGCCTGCAGTTCGTGCGATTCTACACTGGTTTATCATCTCTAGTGTTTCTAGAAGCAAACGTCTCTTGGTGACTTTCGAACTCTGAGCTTTCATAGCGTTAAAGTGAAGATGTTGAATTAGCCGATCGTATTCTTCGTCGATGTTATCGACAACGGCATCTTTCCAACAGCGGACTAATAAATTTGAATAAGTCCCAGTTTATTATGGTTCTCGGTCATCTGCTTTTGAATTTACCGGCTTTTCCTCCTTTCCACGAGAAATAGAATCTTGAACGAAGAAGACGATGGTCGGCTCACGTGTAGAATTTTGAGACAACAG